TCTTACTGTGAAAATGGATACATAACATTAATTCAATAGATCTGTCATTATCCTGTTATGTATTGCAGTGTCACCTGCATCTCTCTTCGTTGGGTCCATATGTCCTTTGGCCACGATCTGACTCTGAAAATATTTATTAAAACATTCCTTATTAGCATTTATATTACTTGCAAGTCTCAGCTGACATTCCCATTGTGCACTTCCTAGTATGATCTTTGTGTCTAGTTGCTGTTTCCCACTTTTCTGCACTCCCCTACATTATGAAGTACCACTTTTCTTGGTAATTGTGCAAGTCAGTTCCTTCAGCCTTATACTAACCTCATGATAGTAGTTTGACTGCACAAGTTGAACTCTTGCACACTACAGACACACAATGGTGTTGAAATAGAGTAAATACCTCCAGAGATGGCTCCAAAAAGGGGACCTTTACTGGCAACTGTTCGTGCTGCATCAGTTCTGGGAATTACATCATGTTGGCATTGAGCACCTGAAATTATTGTGCTTCAGATCCCCTCCAATGACATCCCTGACCTTGATGAGCATAAAAAAGTGTTTTCTATAAAATTGATGACATTTATGATATTAAATGGGTAAAAGGTTTTGCTATCTAGTGGTATTATCACTGAACTATTAATTCAGAGACCTGGGGACATGGGTTCGAATCCTGCCATGGCAGATTGTAGAATTTGAATTCAATGTAAATCCGAAATTAAAAAGATTCTAATGATAACCATAGAACCTTTGTTGATTGTCAGGGAAAACCCGTCTGGTTCACTAATGTCCTTCAGGAAAGGAAATCTGCCATCCTTACCTGGTCTGGCCTACACGTCACTCCAGACCCACAGCAATATGGTTGACTCTTAACTGTCCTCTGGACAATTAGGAATGGGCAATAAATGCTGGCTCAGCCAGCAACACCCACATCCTGTGAATGATTAAAAAAAAAATCCGGTAGACCTCAAAATTGATGAAGCTCAATGGAAAGAGACATTTCATCCTTTACTTTATGTATATCACAGGCCGGTATTCAAAAGAGATACATAGTGATTTTGAGTTCTCATGAGCTGCAATCTGTATTCACTGAAATCAGAGTTGTCGCATCCACCTAGCACTAAGGAACTTCAGAGAATATATAATCATTACCCTTTGATCCTTTGAGTAAATTATCAAAGTGACAGACATCAATGATGATCAATATGACACTAACATAAACTAGTGTTAGCACTAAATGGCTTCTGATGGTGAGTTTCTATTTGAAACATTAACCTTCTTTTCTGATCTTGATGGATCTGCTCTGTATTCTGAATATTTCTCTTATATAGTTCAGACTTGAAACAGTAATAATCTTTTCTATTCAGTGTCATATAACCCAGGCACAGCAGGATTACAGTCAGAAATAGATCAAACTTCTTGTCTTCTACCTCACAACATGACAAAGCAAACCAAATAAGATATCCGAACTTGGTAATTACATTGTACTGAAGATGCTGGAAATCTGATACGAAAATGGGAAGTGCTGGAGAAACTCAGCAGGTACAACAGCATCCTTGAAGAGAGAACCAGACGTAACATTTTGAGTCAAATAACTCTTCTCTGAATTCTATAGAACCAGTTCAGACAAAGTCATTGGATTTGTAACATCAACTCTGCTTCTCTCCCCAAGATGCTGCCAGTGCTACTGAGCTTTTCCACCACTTTCTTTAATATTTACATTATTGCCATTGACTATTTGCCTGATCTCTCTAAATGAGGATGCCAAATTAATGGGCTGCATTGCCTTTGGTGAGCACATTCATATTCAATTTCTTTGTGCACTCTTGGAAAATAATTTTTGATCTACTTAAAGTGAATGTTTGCATGAGTGTGCATAAGGTTAGGCAGAAACAAATTCTAAATTCTACTTTCAGAGATACCCAGTAGCTATCAAGTTGAGAGGGCTTTCTTGTTTCCTTGTCTGAATTGAACTTCAAAACAGAGCTTGACAAATATTTGTTCGGTACGACAATTAAGGGACAGGGAGCTAAAGTGACAAGCTGAAGTTAAGTTTCAATTGAACAGTGGAACAGGTTTGAGGGATGAATGGACTCCTCCTGTGCTGACATCTCTATGTTTTGGAGGCACAAGGTCTTTAGCCCTGCACTCAGGCAGTTCATCTTGCTGACCTCATGTTATAGAAAGAGGGGGCAACTTATTTGAATAAATTTCAGTGTTCAGTAAAATGTGATGGATGCGCTGGGGACTGTAAAGGACTCATTGGATAGAGTCTGCCTTTTGAAGGACTTTTCATTGCCCTCAGAAGGAAAGATAGGGTTCAGAAAAGATTTACCAGGATGTTGCCAGGAATGGAAGGTTTGAGTTATAAGGAGTGTCTGGATTGTCTGTGACTTTTTTCACTGGAGCATAGGAGGTTAAGGGGTGACATTATGGAGGTTTATGAAATCATGAGGGGGTATAGATAAGGTTAATGGCAGGTGTCTTTACCCTAGGAAGGGGGAGTTCAAAACTAGGGAGCATATTTTTAAGGTGAGAAGAGAGAGATTTAAAAAGGACATGAGGGGCAACTGTTTTTACACAGAGAGTGGTTCGTGTGTGGAATGAACTTCCAGAGGAAGTGGTGGATGCAGGTACAGTTACAACGTTCTGCTCCAGAAAAGGCCCATAAAGGCCCAAACATTTAAAAGATATTTGTATAAAGACATGAACAAGAAATGTTTGGAGGGATGTGTGCCAAGCACAGGCAAGTGGGATTAGTTTAGTTTGGGATTATGGTCGGCATGGACTGGTTGGAGTGAAGGGTTTGTTTCCATGCCTCTATGGAACTAAACAAAATGACATCAGGTCCTGGTGAGGTCTATCTTAGATTGCACAAATATCATCACGGTGTGTTCTCCACATAGTTAGAGACAATGGCATTACTATTTCACCTCATCTGTGTGCCTTGATAGCCACTCTTGCATTGTCTGGAAAATGGGGTGTCCAATGGAGACAGGTGCACTTTGGGTTCCCAAGATTATGTAATTTTAATGAAGATCTGTAAATGGCCAAACAACACACTTGCCTCTTGCAAACAGAAGGCTGCTTACGTTTTTAATTGAGTCCTGCTGGATATTCGACGTGATCCTTATTAGGATTGGCATTGGCTGCCCATTGAACTGATAACCCAAGAAATAGCACTCATGGAAACTGTGCCTCATAAGTTAAAGTCTTGATCCTGTATCCCATGAGTCAATGCTTATTTATACTGTAACTCATGACTGAATGCCCATGAAGCCTGTAGCTCAAGAATGGGCAGACCGGAACCCATGCCCTTTCTGTCGATGCTTGAAAAGCTGTCAGCCAATTTCCTGCCTTCCAGAAACTGCCAAGTTGTTGTGGAACACTTATGCCCAAATGTATCAGCTAAAGCTTCCTGGTTGTTAGTACCTAAGACAAAAATCCATTCCTGCACCATACCACTGACCTCATTATAATCCCTACAATGTGGAAACAGGCCATTTGGCCCAACAAGGCCAACTCACCCCTCCAAAGAGCATCCCACCCAGACCCGTTCCCCGAACTTCCCATATCTAACCCACCTAACCTAAACATCCCTGGACACTATGGACAATTTAGCATGGCCAATCCACTTAACCTGCCCATCTTTAGACTATGGAAGGAAACCGGAGCACCAGAGGAAACCCACACAGACACAGGGAGAATGTGCAAACTTCACACAGGCAGTCGCCCGAGTCTGGAATTGAACCCAGGGCCCTGTGAGGCAGCAGTGCTAACCACTGAGCCAGCATGCCGCCCTATTAAAAGAAAAACTTCAGTGCAGGAGCCAACTGTTCAACATTGACTGCTTTAATCAATGATGAGCAGAAAAGTGACCAGTTCAATTATCAGGATCGGACAAATCAACCCAGTCTCACCAGTTTAAAGTTCAACAAATCACATCCAACTTCTGCAAAAGGCAGACAGGGCTAATTAACATTCAGCATCATTGCTGTGATCTACATTTTACAGAAGGTGAGCAGAGACATGAGCTGTCAGTTGTTTGGTAGCAAATCCAAGGTAAGAGGTCAAAGCCTGGTCGACTCCTTTCACCACTCTTTGTGTGCCAGGAAGAGCAGGAGCCCTCAGTAAGCCCATCACAGAGGGCTCTTGCCTACTCCAGGCTGAATACAGACTGCATCGCTTTCCGATGGCCTGATTGCAGCCCTGTTTTCCACCCTCTCTCCATCTCAACCCTCGTGATGGCAGCTCAGAGCTTCCATCTGTGATGCACGGCTGGTCAGTGGAAATGGTCTCCTGTTCCCTCATCGGTGTTTCTGTCTGCCAACACCCTGTTGGTTTGAATGCCTACAGGGCCAGGCGATTACAGCAGACCAGTTAAACGAGATCCTGCCACTAAGATAGACAGGAGATCCCTGAGCTTGGCCTTGCTGGATGTCCCTTATGTTACTGCAATTTCCCCCACTTCACTGTCAATATCGGGGGGTGCCAATTTCTCACCTATTTCCTGTGGCAGCTGGGGTGGAATCATATAGAAAATAATTTGGTCAACATGCCCCTTTGTAAAAGCTGGTAAATTACACTTGTCTTGCTGCTCTTTTCTCACAGACTTGCACAATGCTCTTTTTCAGGTTCAGTGATGATAATGGAATCTGAGTATAATTACCATGTAAAGGATGGCTTGCAAATGGTCTCCGAACACACATTAAATCTGAGTCATTATTGTCAGTGGGGCATTAAATGGCGATGATTGGCAGGCAATCTTCCAAGACACTATAAATTCATCATACGTCCCTGGCAAATGTCAAAGTAAGTCAGTCCTGTGACCAGACCCATTTAACTCAAGAAAAGTACAGAAAATAACTCTACTTGTTAAATAGACCCTTGAAAGAGTAACATTTTCAGGATCAATGAACATCTCACAGAAACAAATTAACGTTGACCCTCCCTTCAAATTGCATTATTAACTCTAAAGTCATTGATTCAGAATTCTATTGGTTGATTACCTCCAGTATCTCCAATGCGGGATGGCCTGGCTGTGTTGCTAAGCTCCCAGCTTAGATTCGGCTCTGTTGTACGTGGCTCAGGCACTACCATCTTTGGGCTCCTGAGTGTGGCTGTGGTGGTTTGCATAGTGGTGGATGTCGTGCTAGCTGTGGTGGTGGTGGTGGTAGTTCTGGCAGTTGTCATTCTCGTAGAGGGCACCAGGGTCAACGTAGTGGTGGATAGACCTGTCGGAGTTGAAAACATGTTGAACTCTGTGAGCTCCTCTTTAGTGGGCCCCCATTCTATGGCGCACGGTATCACAGTCGCTGTTCCTTCACTGTCATAGGAAGTGCATTTGGGTTTTTCAAAATTCTCAAATGGAAAATGATCACTCTGCCTTCTTGACCTTTTCAAAGAGGTCAATTTTACCGAATCCCTAATCTCCATAGAGACTGAAGGGTCCAATTTGTAAGACATAGATTGTTTGGATTGACAGTCGGTACACAGGGTGCCTGTGTTTGACGTGAGTTTGTGAACTCCTGTTGGCTTGTTCGATATTTGCTTTCCAGAATGGATTTCAGGCCAAATCCTTCTAAGCCACCAAGATTTTGTAATTCTCCCAACATGGGCATCTTTGTACACCCAGAGAGGGCCAGTGGCAAGTCTGTGACGTGGTGATGGATGGAGCGACTCTGAATTCTGGCTGAGTCCCTGACCCTGAATCTGTGATTCACAAGAAGAGAAATCCATGGCTAGATGAAAGATGGCAAGCAATATCCAGGCATGGCACCCAACAGGTCGTCCAAATATATTGACAGGCATTGGGCTGGAAGAAGGAAAAAGTGCAACATCAGTCCAATGAATAAGATACAAACAAGATAATATTTCAAAAGATATTTTAGCAACTTGGAAAATGAATAAAATGTACTGTTTCTGAATTGGTACAATGTTCAAATCCCAATGTAACACTTTGCACAAAATAGTTTTCATTCTTAACCTAAGATCCATACCATATGCTATAGGTACATACTCATCCTTGTACCTCGCTTTGTAAGGAATGTAATGCTGATCTTTTAACTTTTTTTATTCATTATTATAATTTATACCTAAGATTTTGTAGCTAGTTGCCTTTGTACCTAAGATGACACCAGAAATGGTGACTTTGTATACTTTTTGTTGTACTCGTGTATCCCTGAACTTAAGTACATGTGACAATAAACCTAATTCTAAGTTCTTAATACTTAACCTTACACGAGGTTCTCCTTTTTGCTGTACTTTCATAATTTTGAAATTTTGTCTCCAACTCCAAGCCCGTTATTACGGAATTTGCAAAAAGTGCAGCCTACCTCAATGTCCTCAGTCTCCTGACAATTTACAGGCTTTGAAAACCTGAATTCGGTGTCAGTTAATCCCCAATTTTTGATTTATCTCCTCCACTGTTTTATTTTGGTTTGGATGGTGACTTGAACTATAGTTCTTCACCTGAGTTTTAATTTGCCTCACGAAATTTTAAAAAAAAAGTGCTTTTTACTGCAACCATTTGTTCCAGAAAGTGCTGTGCTAAAGCAGAAAGGTTCCCCTAGCAACATATCTCCACCAACCAGCAAAAGTCAGGGAGACAAGGCAATTAAATAGTCTCTGTGGACACAACCTGAACACTATCTCATTAGATAAAAAAGTCCTCTGAGTATGATGCCTCCACACTAGACATCAGCTTCATCCACTTTAATAAGGTAATGCAAGTTTAATATCTGTTATTTTTGAATTGTTCGACCCACTGTGCGTACTTAAAATGCACTGGAGAATGATAGGTGTCGAATCCAGCCGACAGGTTTGATGGATGCTTTCATGCCTTCATTCTGCTCTCTTGAAGGCATTAACTTACGCACCAGGCCCCACGTTTGCATGCTTCTCCACTGACAGCAGATACCTGTGCTACAACTGACCTTAAATACAGTGCAGTCAGGAACTACATAATCTGGGACGAGGCATCAAATCAAGGCCCCACTTGACTTCTTGAATGGACATAAAAGTTTCCACATCCTATTCTGCAAAAGAATTTCTGCAAAATTCTCCCCCCAAACCCAGACTGAAAAAAAAAATGTGATCTGGTCATTACCATGTCACCATTGTAGCTCTGTGCTGCGTGAAAGTTGGCTGCCTCATCCTTCATTGCCAGTGTCCATACTTCAAAAGTACTTTTGTTACTATTGTGCACTACAGGAAGACCTCGGTTGTGAATGGCGCTATATAAATGCAAGTTAAAAGTGACTCCAGATTCAGCAGACAACAAACTTTTAATTAAATTTTGACTAAACTGAAAGTCTGGTTAAGATTCCAGTGAGTTCACCATCTAGTATGGTTCCGAGTCACAGAGAAGAACAACCAGGTCGTAATGAGTTTCATATCTGACCTATTCTGAGTTGGTTGATCTTAATTGGCTCAAACGGGAGGAGGTTACTATTGGCTTTTTTTTGTACACCTAGAATAGTGAAGAGAAGAAAACTCAAACAAGATTCTTGCGTCTCACTTACAGTTACCTGCTGGAAGGTGCCAAAATGTCAAGATAACACTTGCCTGCCATGCTTTCTGTCGTTAAATGGTCTGCCAGCATTCGCTTGCTTGACTCATGCATAAAGAAAGACAGCCTTGATCAAGATAACAGGACAACAGCCGCCTGTATGTAGATACCTGTATCTCTAAAGGAATTAGAACCTTCAGAAGTCAAGTACAAAATGGAAGAAAGGACAAGAAGAAAATTGGATTTGTTCCCTATACTGTTGATTTCACTGTGCAGAAATGCTGAAAATCTGTTCAGTCTTCAGTGAGAAATGGTCACAATTTTATAGGAATGTAGCACTGGTTAATTGTCACTTTCTAGCCACAACTACCATTCCTTTTAGAGTGGACTTTAAACAAAATATGCAAAAAAATTATCTAGGGTTAAGCGCAGACCTGTTATTTTTGATTTAACAGAATGTCGGTAGGTTGATAATGTGACAGAGCTGACCTACTTTTATTGTGTGGGTAGAGAAGAGAGACCAGCAGCGTTCTCAGATCTGCAGGAACCTGCAGTCACAGGAAGCTTTGAGGTTTACTGAGATATGTGAGAAAACAGCACACACCATGAATACAGAGTCTCAAATTGCCACAGTCACTGAGATTACATGGGATATGTGTCCTCCGTTTGGATTGCTCATGGCCAAAATGTGAACAGAATATGGACTGAGGAGTTGAGGAAGGGGGTGTCATTCTGAGTTTGCAGAGGAAAATTGGGAGAAATATAAAGGAAAATGAAACCATACAGCAGAGGACAGAGGGGGAGAAAATAATGTGAACTAGCACTGGGCGTTGAGAAAGATGGCTGGTTAAAAATTATAGAATCAGACAGCACAAGGCAGTACATGAGACAATGTATTTGACAGAGAGACAAAGCGTGAGCACAGTAAGATACAGTGCAAAAGATAAAACGAAAAAAGAAAATGTGAGTCCTCAACCATGTAAGTGTCAAACAATGTTTTGTTCAAATGTGCTACAGATTTCTCTTCCCGCATTTTGTTAGTGGGACAACCTGTTTCAACAAGCTTACTGATGTACAGATGCTGGAAAATACAAAAGTAAAGACATTAATGAAAGCTTTTAATGCTTTGTAAAATGTGACTATCCAGAAAAAGATCCTGAACAACTGCAGCATGGACTAAGTTACGAAGGAATGGACTGACAGCAACTGCAAAATGGATTGAGGAATAAATCATAGGCTGAAATTTATGCCCCTTAAGGGTGTGATGGCAGGTAGAATCATAGAGTTTTACAACATGGAAAGAGACCCTTCGGCCCACCATCAAACATCTATCTATTCTACTTCCATTTTCCAGCTCTTGGCCCATAATGTTGTATGCTATGGCATAGTGTTCACCTAAATCAATCTTAAATGTCTTGAGGGTTCCTGCCGCTCCCATAGTTTTGGGCACTGATTTCAAGATACCTACAACCCTCTCGGTGAACAGAAAATCTTCGACTCCCTGTTAAACCTTCTGCTCCTTGCCTTAAGACTGTGCCACCTGGATTTTGACCCAGCTAACTAAAGGGAAAAATTCCTCCCTATCTACCCTATTCATGCTGCTCAGAACTTGGTCCACCTCAATAGGAATCCCCCATCTTCCCAGGTTTCTCAGCTTGAAGCAAAATAGCCCAGTTTATTCTCTCTTCACAGTTGAAAAACTCCAGCCCAGGCAACATCCTGATGAATCTCCTCTGTACTCTGTCCAGTACATTCACACCCTTCCTATAGTGTAGCGACCAGAAACACACACAGTACTCCAGCTGTGGCCTAATTAATATTATATACACTTTGATTACAGCCAACTTGCTCTTGTATTCAAAGCTTTGACAGTAAAGGTAAGTAGCCCATATGCCTTCCTAACTACCACATCTACCTGTCCTGTTTCCATCATTGATCTTTCGATATGCTCACCAAGATCCCTTCTTTCCTGGGGTCCTACCATTCAACACGTACAACCTTGCCTTCTTAGTCTTCACAAAATATATCACCTCACATCTTTGTGCCTGAATGTGAATATGAATGTGACTGAATCAGATCCAAAGATGGATAGGATCAAGTCACAACTCCTTTATCAAGTGTTTAGTATCACCACAACAGCAATTTGTACTTGTATAGCACTTTTAATGCAGTAAACTGAACAACATTGCAATGTGCCTTACAGCAGGGGATGGTACAAACACAGCCTGTTACCAGGCCAGATAAGGAACTAAGAGCAGATAACCAAATGGTTAGTCAAAAAAATAGGATCAAAGGTTTACTCTGAAGGAAGGAAAAAGCAGTGAGAGAGCTTTAGGAGGGAAATTTGAGAGGTAGAGAGCATAGCAGCTGATGGTGCAATTAAAATGGGGATGCCCATAAAAGACAACATGGAGGGAGGTGCAAGTACCTGTGATGATACGTCGGCTTTAAGAGGAATAATTTCTCATTTTTTTTGAGGAGGAAGATTGAGACAGAGGTGTCGGGCGGGTGCTCCAAAGCCAATAAAGTAAACAGCTTGTAAGGCCTTGTTTTCTTATAAAGTTGGAACAATACAAGCTGCCTGAATGGGTGGGGTCAAGCTCCTATAGAACCAGGATTTCTATTTTTAGTTTTAGCTTTCAGCAGTTGCTGGGTTCTTGATGCTGGATGTGGAAGCTCTTATTCCTCTCTCTCTCTGTTGCAGCTAAAAGCTGGGGGTTCTCTTCCTGCTGCTAGAATTGCATGTGAGACAATCTAGTTTACTGAATTTGTCTTTGCAATTCCTTTGCAAAGATTTAGGGAATGTAAAGGAATGCGTTGAAACAGTCAAGTCTGGAGGTAACAACGGTATGGATGTGGTTTCAGCAGCAGATGAGAAGGGGCAAAGTGGATTAGCGTTAGAGAAGTAGAAAGAGGTAATTTAGTGATGTGTGGATGTGTGGTATGAAGCTTGTCTCAGTTAAATATAAAACCAGAAGACATGAGAGCAGAGGTAGGTCATTCATCTCATTGTATCTAGTGCATCATTCAATTAAAAGTAGGGCCTTGGGCAATGTTGTAGAACAGAGAGACCTAGGGGTTCAGGTGCATAATTGTTTGAAGTTTGCATCACAAATAGATAAGGTGGTCAAGAAGGTGTTTAGTACGCTTGCCTTCATTGCTCAGGCCTTCAGTAGTTGGGAAGTTATGTTGAGGTTGTACAGGATGTTGGTGAGGCCTCTTCTGGAGATCTTTGTACAGTTCTGGTCACCCTGTTATAGGAAGGATATTATTAAATTGGAGACGGTTCAGAAGAGATTTA